GGTCTAATGGCGAGATGGGTACTGTCAACCCGTCGACTACCCCCCCGTCTGGTCCGCCTGCCAACGGCCCTTTGGCAGCCGCTCCCTCGGTCGCGGATCAGTCGAAGACAACCGGAGGGGCACCTTTCCAACGGCTGCGTGCTGGTTCGTCATCGTCAAGTCCTGCGCCCAGCCTGCCTCCGCCGACCATACCGCTCCCCTCGGTGCCCAGTCGTGAGCCACAGGGACAGCAGCAGGAACAAAAGCCTGCAGGTTTGCTGGTATCCTACACGACCGAAAACGTGTCCGCCAGTGGCGGTTTGACCCCCAAGGAAGACGTTTACGAATTTCCCCTACCGCCTTCCACCCCCTCCGTCCCACTTTATAATGGCTCGACTGCCGCGCTGGCCGAGTCGCCCGTGACGGTCCAGTTGGACCCGATGAGGAATTTGACGATCGACGGGTCGGACTCGAGCGGCTCAGCGGTCAAGCAGGATGACCATTTGTCGCCACCGCGCTTTGGCCCGAGCGCATGGGCCGAGGACAAGGACGACGCGGCGAGTATAAGCTCCAAGGGGAGTTCGGCGCGGATGAGGCGGTTGATCAGGAAACAGCAGCCGGCGATGGACCTGAGTAAGTTGGTGTGGCCGGAAGCGGGAGATCCAAAGGGAGAGGAGTTTGGGAACAAACGAGCTGATGGCAGTGGCCGAGTTGTCTGGTCGGCCCGAGATGAATTTCGAGCGACCTCCAGAGTTGCAGCCGGACACGACGCCGATTGATGAGGATCGACCGAGGCGGATCCGCTTTGTGTGAGTGGGAGGTGCGAGATGGAACGGATGGAGCGGAGGGAGGGTGTGAGAATGTGTGGATAGGGAGAGTAAGGTGAGGGTGCCATTATACTATATACAGCATGATACGAATACGACTTGACGAGTTGCGAGATGACATACATGATCCGCCTTGGGAGTGTTGGAGCGAACCTGAGATGCGGTGTGTGTTATATCAATGAGTGAGTGGTTGTTCGCCAATACGCAGATGTGGCACGTTAGGCGGGACGAGGAAGGGCACGCCTCGACTTGGTCTTCCTCGATATCTCGGCGAGAAGGTGCGACACAGATGACGAGAGACAAAATTGTGCACCATCACACCCATCACATCACATCCCATGCATAGTCATACAACAGTGGCCGGTCGAAGAGCAATGGGCGGCGGTACCCCACCCACACGATCGTTTCTTGGCGGTCTCGCCTAATTCGTTGTTCATCATTGGACCAAGGTCATACCGACCCGGACGGCGAGTCGTATCAACGCGCGTACACGCGTTGGGTTGGGCACTACTGCCTCTTTCCCCGATGTTACCGCTTCGAAAGCACGTCCAGCACCGTCTTGGCAGAGACGCGGACGGCTTCACGTCGGTTAAACTCGAGGTTCGCGCGTTGTTCCGCCCAAACCGTTATATCGTCAACTGTCACCGGTCCAGACGGCTGGGGCGGGGCTTGGGTGTTATCTGAGCTTTCTGCGGGGTTGGAGGGCTCCGAGGTCGGGTCAGATTGGGATTGGGATTGTGGTGGGGATGGGAGGGCTTGAGAGAGTGGGGAAGGGAGAGAGGAGAGGTGGGTGGTGATTGATAAGGCGATGAGCGAGGAGATGAGCTGGGTATCTGGGGTCAGCGGCGATCGTCGGGAGGTAGGGAGGGAGGGGTATAGGGGAGGGAGAGGTATAGGGCGGAGAAGTAGGATAGAAGAGGTGGTGGTAGGGCCGGAAGTGGCTGTGGTGGGTGACATCGAGAGGGAGAGAGATTGACGAGAGGTGGGGTGCAGTGGGGGAGAGTAGAAGAGGGCAATGGATGTGAAGGGCGGGGGAAAGGTGGGCGAGACAAGGGGTGGGTGGTGAGTATGATGCAAGTAGACAGGCCCACGCACATTCGAGATGCAATACTGGACATCAGCTCGGGTCACCCAAACACAGCAGGCCACAACACGAGGTCACCCCCACGAGCTCGCTGCCTTTACCCAACCGGCCAGAGCGAGACGCAAAACTCACACTCCAACTTGCTCAACCCGCCCAGCAAGCCCACCTCCATCCCTTCTGTCCGGTCCTGTCCTCCCTGCTCCGTCCCTTCAAACTGAGTCGGACCAAACAACCCTTCCTCCAACCTCCTAATCTCTTGCAAGACGCTCAAACACCGATCTAACCCTTGACTGACGCTTTCCAGCCCACGGGTCAGGTCGCCATACTCGCCTTTCTCCCCTGATGCGACGAGGGGGTGTGACGATGCCGTATGGGCCGAAGCGTCCAGTGGAAGGGGGATGAGCGGCGTGAGACCGGTTGTATGGGGGTGGAGAAGCGGTGCGAGCGGGGTGGTCGAGGTTGGGAAGGGATGGCCCGTGGTCATGCCCGGGAAGAGGGGGGCTGGGGAGGATGAGGGCCAGTTGAAGAGGTTGGACCCGGTGCTCGGTGGGATAGAGGGGATGGAGAAGGGGAGAGGCGAAGGGTTCGGGTTGGTCGGTGGGTTGTGCGGGAATGGGGAGAAGGAGGGGAGTGGGAAGGGGAAGGGCGAAGAGCCCACGACGGGGGGTAAGGGCGATGTCATGGGCGTGGGAAAGGAGAGGTGAGGAGGAGGACGGGTGGTGGTGGTAGGGGTCGAGACGTCGAAAGAGAGAGAGAGACAGGGCGGTAATGAGCGACTTGAAACGTCAAAATGACAGTCGGGTCGGTTCAACCTGACCCGTTCCATCTCGCGCGGTCCTTGCCCTCTCACCCGCGTCCAGTTGGCTCTACATGCCATGCATATCCAAGGTGTACCGGTGCACCCCGCCCCCTGGGCACCAAAGCACAGTCCCAAGCGGCACATTGTCACTCGCGATTGAAAGGTAGCATATACATGGGTGCCAAACGAAACTATACACATGTAGAACCAATACACAAATCACCGGCAACTGCTGTCCAATTACCATCTCCACCAAACCCACCCTCGCCCCGCATCATATCACAGCCACGCGCCCAGATTCATCCCCTACCTCCCCGCCAAGTGCGGTCTCAGCGGGACCAGCCCGCCGATACCCTCCGGCCCATAACCCCCCGGCAGGGGCTTTCTACAAACCTGCCCATTAGACACCCCTTCGAGCGAAAGCACCCATCCCCCACCAGACGTACCGGACACTCCCCCTCGATGACGAAGAACTCGCCGTTGATCGTCCACACCCCCTTCAATATCTCCTGCACCGTCACGTTCGACTCGTGCGGGGCCATCGGGTCACACCCCTTGGCCGCTTCCCAGTTCTCCTCTGCCATCCCGTGCTTCTGCAGCTGCCGATAATACACCCTCTCCATTTGCTGCGTCCATGCCGTCTTGAGAGTCTCGGCTGTCCATCCAGCAGGCCCGCCCAGTGGGTGGACCGAAGGGTGAGTGACGGATCGTGCGGGCAGGTAGGACGACGCGACTCGGCCCCTACCCCGCCCTCTTCCGCGGTGGGCCGGGGGCGCCTGAGGCATCGGGTCGTGTTGACGTTTCACGGCAGCGACGAGAGATTCAAAGAGGCATTTGTCACACATGACGTGTCCGCTGGAGTGTCAGTCGCGGGCACAATGACGAACAGATAGAACCACTCACCACAACGTCATGACGGGCTGTTCTGGCGCGCAGAAGCAGACGGGACAGGCTGGTGATCAGCTGAATGACACAGACCGGAGTGCTCAGTTGGAAGGGGACAGCTATACGCACTGTACGCTGAGAGCCGCTTATCCTCATCAACAATCTCCGCTTCCGGCTCCACCTCCGCGTCCGCCTTGATTGCCTCAGAGACCGGCTCGGGCGATGATTCTGGTTCCGGCTTCTCCCCATTCAGCTTTCGTCTCTTCACGTCGATCACTTCGAAGCTCTCCTCTTCGTCCTCCTCGCCATCTTCAACCTCGATAGGGTCAGGGACCACCGCCTTCCCTTTGCCCTTTTCCTGAGCAGTGAACCGTCGTCGTTTCCTCGTCCCGCCAGGGGAGTAGGTCGATGAGGGAGCGGACGATGGAGAGGGGGAAGGGCGGGTGGAATGCGTGCCGAGCGATTGAGAGCTCCCTGGATCGGACTGGTGGCTTGAGTGATGATCGGTTCGGCGAGTCGTCTCAGCTCCCGGCTCCGACAGTGAGGTGGAATCGGGCGACGATCTGACATCTGCTCGACCGTCCGCGTCTCGTCCAGCCCGCTTGGAACCGGCCCGCTCTCTATCCCGCCTGAGCAGTCTTATCGTCGTCCCTCTGCCATGCTCGACAGAGTACGAGGCGGCGGACGGCTCCGCCACTCGATCCTCGGAACGACCATCCGCCGGATTCGTTTCTCGCCTCGGCGACGACCGACCGGGCCGCTCAACTGGCTCCAACCGCGTCGAGCTGCCGATTCTGTCATTGTGAGAGGACGGCCCCGATCGGGAAGACGAGGCGACGCTGCTTGCTCGTGAACCTCGTGATCCGCCGCGGGCGCGAGAGCCGTCGCGGAGGCGTTTGCGGCCGGAAAGGGGAATGTCAGCGAGGGTGGGGCGAGGGGAATCGGACGCCTCGGTGGGCGCGTAAGAGAGGGACGAGGGGGTGGTGGACTGTCTTCGTCGAATCACCGGCATGTCTTGTGGTGGTAGGGTGATGGTAAAAAGGTGAAAAGGAGGGATGGAGATGGGGCGTGACGGGATGGTGAAAGGCGAGATGGGGAGGGTGGAGTGAAGGGATTTGAAAAGGGGTTGTTGCGAGGGCTGTTGTCCCCCCTGTGGCTTCAACCAGGATCGTCGGTAGCGGTATCCCTTCCTGCTCTGATCTGTTTCGTCCTGAAAAAGCCCGTGAGGTGGGAAGAATAGGTGAAACCCCAACAGCCGATCAGAGATCAACGACAACACAAAAGTGACCCACTGACCAAGCCGAAGCTGCAAGCGCTGATCGACGCCACCCGACTCCGCCGTTATCTCCGGCCCTGCGCGCACACCCCCACGTCAAAGCGTTGATAAGCACCAGGCACGAGCCGTTTTGATGTTGCTTTTTCGCTCGTGATGTTGGCCGAGCGGTCTAAGGCGTCGGATTTAAGCCGGAGATTATCCTGCACCCGATGGGTCACCACCCGCGTGAGTTCGAACCTCACACATCACAACTTGGTTTTTGCGCCCGGGAACGTTGTATCGCACCGTGGGAGTGAGGACTCCTCTCGGGCATAGTCGTGTCGTTTGCATGGTAGTGAATGTGAGGTGCAGGAGCCTGCACCTATTCACACGACTTTTTGGTTCTGACTTCCCCTGCTCGAGGTATGCGCAGCGCATTGTAATGCTCGAGAGGTGCGTTGGGGAATATGCAACACGCAGGAGGAATCATGGGCCCCCACGCGCGCCTCGTCATTGAGGAGTCGAGCAACCAACTCACTCTTGCATCCCTTGATTGACTCGTCGCCTTTCTCCCCCTTAGAAGCACTACATCCCCACCATGTCCGCTGCACCCGCGAGATCGGCTCCCCCTCCCCCTCCACAGGACGAGGAGGCGTCCACAGGCGCCAGTGCGCGTGAGTGCAGGAGAGAGCGCGATACGCTCCAGCGCGGGCGATTGGCGTATCGCGGTGCGATTTCAGTGCTGATCCACCTAGAGGAGCGGCTTTTGGCAGCGGCCAAGACTGACAACGAGTCGTTGTTGCAGAGCGCGCTCGAGGAACTGAAGGATATCAACGGGGTAGACGGGTAGGTGGTTTCGCGGTCTTCATCTTTACGGGCTGTACTGATGCCAGGCTCGGGAACACCGGTAGGCGCGATTGGCTCAGTGCATCATGGGACAGCTGATCTGATGCGTCTTGCTTTTTGGCCTTGTTCCTGCCTGTAGCGCTGCACTACGCGTATGTCGCATGAGAATGGGAGGTTATTGACAGTAGGATACAATACGCCTCGACGAGTGTGCTCGAGGATATCCTGTGTCATGAGACGTGCGATGTCGATCTCCGTAATCGGCTCAACGGGGACACGCCGCTGCACATAGCGGTCCGACAGCGATGGGAGGATAGCGAGGGGTTGCGGCTTTTCCTCGGTATGTGGGGGAGAAACCCGGCGAGCAGGGTGCAAGTGGACAGGAAGGCTGATGTCGTAGTGGAGAACCTGCTCGAAGCCGGGGCGGATACTCTGTGAGTCCGGTGTGGTGCTTCTCTCTCCCCCTTAGGATGCCTCTCTCTCCCCCTTAGGATGCCTCTCTCTCCCCTTTACGATGCCCTTTTCGGCGCGATTCTCACTCCATGGGTGGTGTCGTCATGTCCTCGCGATCTCTGATCATGCCATGAGGGCAGGACATGGAGGGTGGGAACCCGGAGACACACACACGCCCACCAATACCGTACCCTCGCCATCGACTAACCCCTCAGGATCCGCAACAGACACAACGAAAAGCCGATAGACCTCTTGCCGCCTTACCACCCGTCCAACGATCCGGAATCAGACGACGAGAGGGTACGCGCCGCCCTCCGCCGCGCCGAGGCTGAAGCGGCGGTAGCGGACTCTGGAGACGTCGTTGGTGCGTGACCTCTGCCAAGGTAGTGTTGGATCCCCCTTGCTGATCAGTACAGAAGAGAGCGATGGCGAGGTTGACCCGGATGACGTTGCGTCGGATTAGGAATGGACCGAGGGGTGGGTTGGTTTATACGGTTAAGAATCTGCATGTATAGCGATATGGGCGGGATAAGTGGGCTCGGGGGACTGATGCTGGCGATGAGACGGCGTCAACAATGCAGCCAGATGACCGGCAAAGCCATTGTAGCGCACGCTTCAGTGCCGAGTCGTTCTGCTCATGCCAGCGCGTACCGCTATTTGGTCCAGCTCAATTGGCACGAGCAACGACATCGACCCGATACACGTCGTGCCTCTGTAACGTGCCCACTTTTGACCACGCACAAACGCGCATCGGACCATGTGCGGCCTCGCAAAAGCCAATCCCCTACCCACCCAACCACCACCCAGTGCAGCACGGTAAAGACTGTAAAGTATAGTTGCGCCTGAAGGCTCAGTGATCGCATGCATATCCTACAAGCCCCAATCGTCTACTCGTCCGGAACGACAATCTCTCCCTCGTCGATAGCCTCGATGATGTCGTGGGGAGGCTTGCCGTCGACGGTGCATCCGACCGATTGGCATGTACCCAAAACCTCCTTGACACCACCAGCGAGGTTCTTGGCGAAGGACTTGTGGGCGAGTTTTCGGGCAATCTGGAGGGTGAAGGGGGATACGTGGGGCAGATCAAAGGGCGAATGAGAATGTGACAAAGGGATTGAGATGCGAGGAAAAACACAGGTCAGCATAGTTTCGCAATACATTTACGCTTGCACTCACGTCGTAGATCTGGTCGAGGGGGATGTTACCGGAGTGCTTGATGTTCTTCTCCTTCTTTCGGTCCCTTGGGGGCTCTGCGATTGTCAGCTCCAGTCCGATGAGGGTCTCGCCGTAAAAGAAAAAAATGTCGGAAAGAGAAAAAAAAGCAATAAAACCCACCCTTAAGAGCCTTGATGACAAGGGCGGAGGCGGAGGGGACGACGGAGACCGCGGCCTGTCGGTTTTGGATGGTGAGTTGACAGGTGACTCGGAGACCCTTCCAGTCCTTGGTGGCCTTGGCAATGTCTTCTCCGACCTTCTTGGGGGACTGTTGGGGGGAACAGGTGAGGTATCGAAGCGGGAGTGATAGAGGGAAAGCGGATATATCGAGGGAGAGAGCGAGCGAGCGAGGAGCAAACGGGAGGAGAGAGGTCAGCAAATATTCTTTTCTTGGTCGATGTGATCGAGTTTCGAAACCCCTTGCAGCGGAGGTTGTCCCCGTTCGTCTTCGCCCAGGCCCATTCCTCTGCCTTCAAGACGCCATTCGCCATCCGCTTCCCCGCGTTTGGGCTCTGCTACTCCACCACCTCGTCCCCTTGTTCTTCCCGCTGCAAGAGGCCGATAACCCGCCAGTTGAATTGATTTCCCACTCACCAGACCAAGGGGACCGATCTTGGGCGCAAGAGCGGACGAAGCTCCGACCTCACCTCCGACGGCTCGGAGGTAGATGATCTATACGAGGGAAAGCGCAGAGCATACAGGCGAGACCGGTGCGTGTGTAAGAGTCGCGATAGTGGTTCGAGAGGGGAGTTGACAAGAGTGGACAAAAGAGGGGGGGAAGCACGAGGTCAGCGCTGGGCAAAATCGATTGTGGAAGAAAACCTTTGCGCCGTTCTCGACTGCAAAAGGGCTGAGAGCGGGCACGGGGATAGGTAGGAGGACGAGGGTACGCACCTTGATCTCGTTGGGGTCGATCTTGGGCGCCATTTTGAAGAGTTGTCGAGAGAGTGAGGATATGCCAATAGACCTTGGAAGTGGAAAGATGGAGCGCGAGACGCTGTGTCGCTGCCAACTGCCGGGCGGATGGGGGAGGGAGGGGGAGGGGTGAGTGAGGGAGGGAGGAGGGGGGGGGAGAGGGTGAGAGGCGAGGGGGGTAGAGGGGGCAGAGGGGCGAGAGCAGAGGAAGGAGAGAGGTCTGAGTGTGGCACTTCGAGGGGGTCGATAACCTAGTTGAACAAGGGGAGTATTGGGATCCCAAGGAATTTCGGAGTTATCTTAACGCCGATACTCACGGCTCGTATCACCGATACCACCCTTCTATCCTTCCTTCCTCGGCCTTGCCTTTGACGCTGAGAGTATCCTACACGAGGAGGCCAGACTACCTCGGGATAGACCATGCTACTAGAGAGTGCATAGAGACGAGGAGAAAGGTAATCGCTACCCGCGATGCATGTGAGTGGCCTCACGCACACCAATCTCGCGACGTCTTCCTCTTCCCGCTCTCTACAGACTAACCCTCTCCTCCCACAACCAAGTGCAGCAAGGACCCATACCCCCCACCGCCAACAAGGTCCCACGCGACACCGTGTATACCGCACTCGTGAGATCCCCCAACGCGCATACCCCTCCCTCTTGTATATGCAGCAGGTCACACTCGGCCCGAAGCAAGCACCAGTGCGCAAGCACAGTATCATGAGAAAGTCGACGTATGCATCCGCTGTCTGGTACAAACCACCCATCGCCCCAGTCACACCCTGCACACCACCGATCCCGCCAATCCTCCAACCATGCGAAGAACTTGACGGGCGAAAGCGAGCAGCTTATCGGTATCGGCGGAGAGAGAGGCTGCGCGTTAGTAAACCGTCTCACAGTCCTTGTAGATCCCATTCCACCACCCCACCCGACCCCTCTTCCACCTCCGTCCATCCCGGTGACATGGAAACATCACTCACGTGTTGTGCTTCCTCCAGGTAGCACGGGCCGGGGTGTGGTTGTACTTGGAGCCCTTGCCGAGACCCCTGTTCCTCTTGCCCTCGGCGGTGAGTCCACGGGCCTCTCGGTGCTTGTGGACCGGGTTGGCGATCCAGTTGATTCGGGCGTCTCGTCGGATGGCCTTGTGCGAAGGGCTGTTGGGGGCAGGGGAGGAGGAGAAAAATGTGGTATAAATTGACGATTGGAGTGGGTAATGAGGGAAGAGGCAGGTCAGCGCGAATTCTCAACTGAAAGTGGGAGACCAAACGCACTCGACAAGGATGACCTCGTAGTACTTGTAGACACCGTCCTGGTTGATCCAGTAAGAGTTAAGCCTGTCCCGTCAGCCCTCTTGTTCCCGCCTACACCGCAACCCTTCCAACGACCCGTCTGCCCACTCACACTCGGAGGTTTCCGCATCGTCGTCCAACTCGCTCCTCGGCAGTCGCCTTCAATCCTCGCTGGAACTTCAAGTGGTTGACACCTTGTCGGACGGGTTTACCGTAAGTAGCACCCTTGGGGACAGGCTTCTTCCTGTTTCCTCGTCGAACTCGGACTCGGTAGATGAGGTAACCCTGCTTGGCCTTGTAACCCAATCGTCGGGCCTTGTCCGGTCGAGAAGGTCGGGAAGCTCGGTGGATGACAGCGAGTTGTCGGTACTCCCAGCATCGGACTCGAGAGACGAACTGGAGAACGTCCGACTGCTTCTTGGTGTAGAGCTCGGACAAGTACTTGTAGGCTCCCATTCTGACTGCGCGACGTTAGTTTTTTTTTCGAAAAAGACTCGGGGGCGAGGGGGAGGAGGAGGTGACCAAGAAGCAGAAACGACGTCGACGTCGAGAAGGG